TCTCTTCAAGGCCTCCCCCTAAATGTGTTCATGCCTAATCTCTAGGGAACTAAGGCCCATCCCTGCCAATAAATATTTGCAAGAACCTGAGCACTAGGACCTACCTTACCAGATCTTCTCTGAAGAGGTCCCACCGTCCAAGACCTGTAGGATAAATTGGCCAAACAGCAGGTCCGCCTTCCCAAAATGTCCAAGCAGGATACATGATATCATGGTACTCTGATGTCTTCAACAGAAACAGAAGGGTTGTTCAAAATCAGTCTCAGAACAGAGAGAGAAGCAAACTACTGTCATGCCACAGGATCTGGACAGAGGTCTTGCTCTAGTGTTAACATTGCCACACATCTATTTTCCCTTGTCTGCAAAGTCTACACTCTAGACATTAAAAGGGGAAAATGACCATGGGTGAAAATTCATGGGCTCACTGAATCCCAGAATTTGAAATCTCATTAAAAGGCAACTTTTCCAGTTACCCAAAGTTCTGTTTTTCTAAAGGACATTATTACACTGTTAGGGTTTTTAGTTTAGGGAACTTTCTCATCTTTTAACTGCTATTACACTTATAGTATATACTGTCTTACCAGTTCCAGATTATTTCCTAAATGGGTCTTTTGAGAGCAAGAATCACAGTGCAATGGTTAAGAGCGTGGGCTCTTGAAACAGATCATCTGAGTTTGAATGCTGATTCTGCTTCTTTCCAACTCCAGACAAGTTACTTAATTTTTCTATGCCTCAGTTTCCTTATCTTTATGATGGGAGAAATAATAATACCAATAATGTTATCTATCTAATGGGCTTGTTTTGAATATTAAATGAGTTAGTACATGTGAAAAGCTTAGACCAGTGCTTGGTACATGGTAAGTACTCAATAAGTGTTAATTAGTGTTACCTAATACTGTGGTACTGTGGAGCTCACACCAGTTGGTCAGTAAATTCTTGGTTATTTGTTGGTCAGGACCAGAAGTGCTGATGGGCAGGACGGGGGAAAGGGATATCATCCTACATCTTTTGAAAAAAGTTTAAAACCATTTGTTCCAAAAAAAAAAAAAAAGAAAAAAAAACCATTTGTTCCCCTTTTTATGGTTACTTCTATTAAAATTCTGGCCACTGACAGACCTCTAACTCTTTGGTTTCTTCACTGGAATTACACATGCAATA